GTATAATTGGTACTGGTTAAATAAAATGCGACCCATTTAAAAATAGAACAAAATGATAATAGTTTTCTGAATTATTTACTTTAGATGTGCTTTCTCCAAGTGCTGTCATGTTGGAATCCTAAATCTTACCTAGTAATGTGTTTGAGGATTAAAACGAGATCATACCTGTAAAAAGCTCAATCCAATCTCTGACAAATATTAGATATTTAAGAAAAGATAGATTTTAGGGCGCCTGGGTGGCACAGTTGGTTAAGTGTCTGACTTAGACTCGGGTCATGACCTCACAGTCTCTGAGTCTGAGCCCCACATTGGGCTCTGTGCTGATAGCTCAGAGCCTGGAGCCTGCTTCAGATTGTGTCTACCTCTTGCTCTCTGCTCCTCCCCCACTAGCATTCTCTGTCTCGCTCTCTCTCAAAAATAAATAAACATTAAAATTTTTTTTAATGAAGAAATAGATGCCATGTAAGTGACTCTTAAGGAACCAACTTTAGTCCTCAGTGTCCCCTAACATATAACTAGCAATGAAAGTGGAATATACTTTATTTTGATCACTTCTGAATGAGAAGAGCTAAAAGTTTCCACTTGAAAAGAGAGGAAGGAAAAATGCATGGTAAAAGAATTGAATCTTTTCATGTGCCTGTTGGCCATCTGGATGTCTTCTTTAGAGAAGTGTCTATTCATGTTTTCTGCCCATTTCTTCACTGGATTATTTGTTTCTTGGGTGTGGAGTTTGGTGAGTTCTTTATAGATTTTGGATACTAGCCCTTTGTTTGATATGTCATTTGTAAATATCTTTTCCCATTCCACTGGTTGCCTTTTAGTTTTGTTGACTGTTTCCTTTGCAGTGCAGAAGCTTTTTATCTTCATGAGGTCCCAATAGTTCATTTTTGCTTTTAATTCCCTTGCCTTTGGAGATGTGTAAAGTAAGAAATTGCTGAGGCTGAGGTCAGAGAGTTTTTTTCCTGCTTTTCCTCTAGGGTTTTGATGGCACATGAAAAGATGCTCAACGTCGCTCCTCATCAGGGAAATACAAATCAGACCGCACTCAGATACCACCTCATGTTAGTCAGGGTGGCTAAAATGAACAAATCAGGAGACTATAGATGCTGGTGAGGATGTGCACTGTTGGTGGGAATGCAACTGCTCTGGAAAACAGTATGGAGGTTCCTCAAAAATTAAAAATAGATCTACCCTATGACCCAGCAATAGCACTGCTAGGAATTGACCCAAGGGATACAGGAGTGCTGGTGCAGAGGGGCACTTGTACCCCAATGTTTATAGCACCACCTTCAACAATAGCCAAATTATGGAAAGGGCCTAAAGGTCCATCAACTGATGAATGGATAAAGAAATTGTGGTTTATATACACAGTGGAATAATACATGGCAATGAGAAAGAAGGAAATATGGCCTTTTTGTAGCAACGTGGATGGAACTGGAGAGTGTTATGCTAAGTGAAATAAGTCATACAGAGAAGGACAAATACCATATGTTTTCACTCTTATGTGGATCCTGAGAAACTCAACAGAAGACCATGGGGGATGGGAAGGAAAAAAAAAGAGGTTAGAGAGGGAGGGAGCCAAACCATAAGAGACTCTTAAAAACTGAGAACAAACTGAGGGTTGATGGGGGGTGGGAGGGAGGAAAGGGTGGGTGATGGGTATTGAGGAGGGCACCTGTTGGGCTCAGCACTGGGTGTTGTATGGAAACCAATTTGACAATAAATTTCATATTAAAAAATAAAAAAAAAGAACTGAATCTTTTTGGTGAATGGAAAAACATACTTTTAATAACAGAAGATCAAGCACATACTCAGGAACATACTACAGCATAACCATATGTAAACTTTCCATAGTGATATTGTTCTTCTGATTGTAGTAAGTATTTTAAATTAGTTTTGGAAAATTCAAAGCTCAATTAAGTTGACAGAAGTTTTATGCTTTTTGTAAAGGAAGGATCATTTAATTTTTTGTCACAAACAGTTACTGTTTTATCACTGAGAAGTCTAGAGAGAGGCTCTTAAATATAAATGAATAAGCAAATCACAAATTAAAATACTCCCCTGAGAAATATTGGCAGAGGACAACTGACTTATGCTCCTTGTATTGTAATGAACTATTCTTCAAAGAAAATTATTTCCTAACAATATTTATCAATTTCCTAACGATTTTTTTAAGTTTATTTATTTTGAGAGACAGAGACAGCACAAATGGGGAAAGGGGAGAGAGAGAGAATCAAAGCAAGCTTCGCACTGTCAGCACAGAGCCCAATGTGGGGCTTGGTCTCACCAACCATGAAATCATGACCTGGGCCAAAATCAAGAGTGGACATTTAACTGACTGAGCCACCCAGGCACCCCTCAAATTCTTAATGAATTTTAAACACATAATATATCCTATCCTAATGTATTTGTAATGTCACTGAAGAGCAGTGTGAAATATGGCTTCCCAAAGAGTTGATCATTCTTTTACACCTGTTAATACGATGATCCTGCTATCCTTGTCAATGGAACGTTAAGAAAGGATATCTTACATAATTGTAAACCTCAAAATTGTGTACTAACTAGAGCTTAAGCTCCAATTCATTTGACAACATAGGCAATCTAAATGTGGAAATCAATTGAGAATCCAATGGTATACTATTGAACCCAAATTCATTTTGTCAATTGAATTCCATATAAATATAATTTTAGAATATGTACATATTGGATTCTATGGTATTTCAAAATAATATTAGAATAAGAGCATGTGTATCAAATAATTAATCAGGGTTAGAGTTGCAAGTTTCCAAACATTTCAATATATATTTCCATGTACACAGAGGAAAGACTGATTGATTTTCACTGGACTGCTTTGTGAATTTATGTGATTTCAGGTCACTGGTATAATGAGGATGGAATTATTGTCATAAGCAAGAATAAGTACAGAATGCAGAAAATTAAAAGGTTAAAGACTTCCCCTGCATATATTCTTGACTATATAATAAACATGTCCTAATGAATAAGTATACCAATTAGTCAGGAAGTCTAGGGAATTAAATGTTACAATTGATTACTAACGTCAAGAGAACATAACTCACATTTCAATAGTTACCAAAATATGTACAATATTTGATTTTTAGAATTTTTCTCATCTATCAATATGTAAACTATTTGTTTTATTCAATTCTTTTTTTCTTAATATTAAACTTTAAAGACATTTTCATGCCATTTGTAATTTCCAGTAAAAAAAAAAAAAACATTTCAAGATGATTCCCATAAATAGTCAAGAAAAATATTGAGTTCTAAGTAGAGTTAGGCAACAGGTCCCAACAAAACAGTATGTCAATGGTTTACTTACAACTCAGTAGCCTACAAGCCATAATGTGAGAGTTCTGAACCATGTGTCAGCCAATAACAGTTAAATAAGTGGCAAACATCATCTTGAAATTTTATTACATTATAAAAGAAAACATGTTACTAGGCACTAGTTGAAAAAATATAATTTCTACTACTTCAGATGATAGGATTTATATATCCCAAGACAATAAGGTATCAAGAAGAAAGCTATACTAAACTTATTTCAACTATAACAGAATTATAAATATGATTTAAGTTTAACTTGAAACACTGGGACCCTTCACGAGAAGGAAGATGTGTACTCAATATGCTTAAAATGCACATATCATTTAAATGCACATCATACAGCACATCTTGGAATAGAAATTCCCCTTTGTAACACAAAAGTATGAAACTTTGAGTTAATATGAGTGCTTTGAGGATAAATAAGTGTAATAATTTCACATATAAAATAACAAGACATACTTCAGTTTGCTGAAAAAGAACACAAATAGTTTGGGAATCCCTGGAAGGGCCGTCTTCCATAATTCATTTGAATAAAACATACCTAGCAAAATAAAAAAAAGTATACCTTTTCATATTCTTCAGGAATGCAGACACACACAGATGACCAAACACGGAAAACAAATTGAGTAATTCAATTGCTTGCAGGGAAGTGTGCAGAGAATATTCTATTTGCATTTATTAGTAAGCAGGGTTGATATTGTCAAATTAGAGACCCTCAGAAAAATAATTTCCCCTTCATCATTTCAGAAGTACATGTATACTTGGTAACTTCACAGTTTTTGGTTTTGTTTTTGGTTTTTGGTTTTGATGTTAGTTTTGGTTTTGTAGAACTCCAAGAAAAAGTAAAATATAAACAAACCTATCTTCCTATGCAAAACGGGTAGAAGGAAACAGGAAAACAGTACTTCAGCCCATAGTCAGGCTTGTGACTAAACGCCTACTGGAAAGGGATTGGTGAGTGAGGATGTCCAAATTGTGCAATAAGAAAGACCAGCACCTGAATGGAGAGGCTGGAAGAATTAACCCAGGAAAAATCAGTAATATTCATTATTACGATCTGCATACACAACCGAATGGAAACCTTTTGCTGAAGAACTACAATCTACCTAGAGTAATTGATTATCTCAACAAGTAAACAAACATCAAAACATAAGAGTGTCATTGTGGGGAAAAGAGTTTCCCTATGTCTAACTAGAGTTGACCACACCATACTAAAAGCTACCGCCAACTTTTAATATATAAATATGTTCTTGCTTTTTTCGTAGAAAATAAAATAAGATAGCAGTGATTTAATAGTAGATCTTCCATGAGACATATTTTGTAAAGTTTATCTGGTGAATCATAGATGTAACAGAACACCAGCTCTTCTGGACAGTGTCTGATGGAGGAACTCCAGGAGAACAATTCAGAGAACTAACAGAAAATTAGGTTGAAGTTCCCAACAGCACAGTATGAAAAAAAAGGAAACCTCAACAGAGGATCCCCAGTGACCTTGTAGAATTTCCACAGGGCTCACAATGCCCTTAAAACCACATTGAAGATTTTGAATTCTTATTGTTTCCTCATTTTTAACTATGTTTCCAAAGCTGCATGATTTTTTTTTCTTCTATACTCACGTGAATTTATGAAACTATGATCTTAAAACCGCCATTTCTTACCTTTGATTCTTGAACTTTCTTGACTCTTCTCCTGCTGGAATTAAAACAGAAATAGGTCAAAATCTGTGAGTATGTGATCAACAGCATGATACAGCATATCATCGTAACTAAAGACTTGTCCAGGCATTTTGTTGTACATATACCCTAGAGTCATTGTAACACAATTCTCACCTTAAAAGCCACTTATGTCAAATCTTTTATCAGAGCAGTAATCATTCTTAGTGTCCATATATTTCTTTAAGAAACTAATACATTGTATTAATATGGATTTATAAAAAAATAAATGGTAATGAATAATAAATAATCATGACTCTCAAATGCCTCAGGGCATTTTCATTTAATTTCAACAGATATTGAATGATATCTTCAGAATTTTCTTTTAATGTCTCCACATTAATCACAAATTGGTGGTGAGGAAAAATGTTTAAGGGCAAACAGTGGACAATTCAGTAAAAAAACACAAAAGACATTTCAACTGTCTTTTCTTCAGTTTAACTTAGAATTGGTCCCTGCCTCACTTCTCTAAGGCTAAAGTTGACAACAATTCTATTATTTATTCAAAGGCTGCTTCAGTCAGACCTGTCTTTCAATTTGACATACTCCTTATTAGTTACCAGGCAACCCCAAAAGAATTAGCTTGCTTTCAAGTTTTTAAGTAGAAATTGTGCCCTCTATAACTTCTCAATTAATATTCAAGCACAGTTTACTCTGTCTAAAAGTTTCAGGGCCTCACACTAAAAATAATTTTGAAATAAATTTCTAATAAAAATTATAGATAGATATAGATATAGTTATAGATATAGATATAGATACACATACTTCAGAAATGTATCAATGCCAATAAATTTTGGTAAAATTTATGAAAATAATGAAAAATATTAAGAATTTATTTTGTGGCAGGCAGGCATTAATCCCAGAGTCAGATTTGAGAACAAAAATGCATATTGACAAATGTATTTTTATGGAATATCCTTATCCAATGTATGATTCTATTAGACTTTAATACTTTATGTGATATTTCTCTTTGCCTAATTTATCCAGGCTTTGTTTTTGAATTCTGTACTGTTTTTGCTAATTGATTTTTTCTACTTCAGGTTTATTTTTAATTTAGAATATCTGTTGTTCATTTAAACTAAAATTTAAATTTTAATTACTTGATTTAAAAATACATTATTCTTTCATAATATAAGATAAGCAAGCGTAAATTCTCCAAAGAGGTATTTGTTAATGAAAAATAATCTCTCTGTCCTCTCTCCTCCTTTTATTCCATTGATTCTTTCATTCATTGAATCATTCGTTCTTTGAATAAATATGTATAGATTGCTTTCATGTGCCAGACACTGCTTTAGGTGATAAGTCTACAAAGGATGAACAAAACAGAAACAAAGCAAAATGAAACAAACAAATAAAACAAACAAACAAAAAAGTCCTTAAAGTAACATACTGCTTAAATGTTAATAAGTTCTATTTTGAAAAAAAGATATATCATAGAAGGTAGTTTTAGAATAAGTGACTGCAATTTTACCTAGGTCTACAATGATAAAATGTCTTTTTTATGTTTCAAGTTTTATTTAAATTTTAGTTAACACATAGTGTAATATTAGTTTCGGGAGTAGAATTTAGTGATTCATCACTTACACCCTGTAAGTGCCCTCCTTAATGCCCACCACTCATTTAAACCATCCCCATACCCACCTCCTTTCCATCAACCCTCAGTTTGTTCTCTATGGTTAAGATTCTCTTACAGTTTGCCTCCCTCTCTCCTTTTTTTTTTCTTTTCCTCTATGTCCAGCTGTTTTCTTTCTGAAATTCCACATATGAGTGAAATCATTTGGTAATTGCCTTCCTCTGATTGACTTATTTTGCTTAGTATAATAACTCTAGCTCCATTCACATCATTATAAATGGCAAGAGTCACTCAGGAAAACAGTATGGCAATTCCTCAAAAAGTTAAAGATAGAACTACTCTATGACAGCAATTACACTACCAGATATTTGCCCAAAGGATACAAAATACTGATTTGAAGAGACACATGCTTATAGCAGCATTAACAATAATAGCCAAATTATGGAAGAGCCAAAATGCCCATCAACTGATAAAATGACTTTTGAACAAAATTTTGAGTGAGATGAGAAGATATTATTCCAAGCATTTATCTGGGGAAAATATATTCTAGGGGAGAAAAACAACTGTACATTTCCTGGGGTACAGAAATTCTTGGCATTGTCAAAGCTACCAAGGAGACCAGTGTGACTAAACTAGACTGAGTAAGGGGAATTTAGTAGAAAATACAATAAGGGAGCTAATAGGGGTCAGTTAGATTAGCACCTGGGGCACTTGTTAGATCTTTGGCTCTTACACTGAGATAGTTGAGAAAACAATCAGAAGTTTCTTCACAGAGGAGTAACATTATCTTAATTGCATTTAAGTAGAATCATTCTGGCTACTAAAATAAGTTAAACAGGGCAAGGACAAAATTAGACGGACCAGGTGGAAGAGTATCACAGTAATCCAGATGGGAAGTGATAATGGCATAAAACAGTGTGATAACAGTGGAGTTGAAATATCAGTTATAACTGTCAAGATTTCCTGACAGAATAAATTTGGAGTGTGAGATATAGAATAGATGAGGGTGATTTCAAGGATCTGAGTCATGAGAAGGATTTCTATCCCTTCTTCACTTGATTTCTGATACTGTCTCACTCTGTGAATTTTTCTCTTGTCTGACCACCCCTTTTGCATCTCCTTTACTGATTCCTCCTCATCCCCTCAATTTCTAAATACTAGGTTTGGAGATACTGAACCCTTACATTTTCCCATACACATCTCACTTCTTTGGTGATGTTATCTGTTCTTATGGCCTTAACCACCATCCTTTTCCTAACGACTCTCAAATTTATATCTCTAGCCAATTCTCTGCATTGAACTTCAGCCTCATACATGTATTTTTGACATCTCTACTTGGATGTCTAATAACAGCCCACTTATCACGTCCAAAACTGAACTTCTGATTTTTCCTTACTTCTTTGGCCATCTTTCTCATCTCCATCTTCCTCCTCTCTCCATTCTTCTAGTTGCTCAAAGTAATCCTTATCTACTTTATCTCTTAAGAGATGAAGATCCTGAATTTTTCATGGATTTGATATTTGAACATGCTGACTTTTATTTTACTTTAAATATAACTCTGAGGACACAAAGTAGGCAGATGGTTAAAATGTCTGGAACTCATAAGAGATATGTCAACAAGACATATAAATTTAGAAACCACCATCCTATGTATAAATCATCAGTACTGCATCTGGAGAACGTATAGTATAGTTGAATGATCTAGAATTGAGTACTGGAAACAATATAAGAAAAATATAAAGTTTAATTAAACAACAAAAGAGAATAGAAGAATAGACAAATTATAGGAGGAAAAAACAAAAACACAAAAAGGTGGAATGATGGACTCTCAGGGAATATCTTATACAGGGGTAAATTTTCAATAGTATAGACTTCTTCTGACAGACCAAGTATGATTATGTCTAAGGCAATGCCCATTAGAAAAAGTGACATAGATGTAACCATTGACTTCAAAGGAAGCAATGTATAATGGAATGGAAGAAACTTGCAAGGAAAGAAAGACCCGGGTGGTTTGTGGCTAGAGAGTAAAGTGAAATCTGTGCAGGTATTGTGTTTGTTTTTGTTCATCTCTTTGTTTCATGTTTAGTTTTATATTATCTATATCAGTGAGAATTGAGAATGTGTAAATGAGGGGGGTACATAGTAGAAATGGAAAGGATTATGATAAAAGGGAGAGATGGTATGACTGATTTTATAAGGTTATTGAATGTGCCTCAGAACTTGAGTGGAGACGTTTAGATAGGAGGAGAACCAGTTTCTCCAATATAACAGGTGGGCACAGAGAGGTGCAGGCATAGATGCAAGAGGTTTATAGGTTTGATATGATTAATTTAAAATTTTTAATCTGTGAGGATTTATTTTCTTTATCCATTAGAAGGGCAGTTGGCTGAGTGATGAAGTAGGCTGATTTGTCAGTAATTTGAGGAGATAAAGAAGATTTTTAAATGCACTGCTTTTTGTGAGACTAGGTGTGTAGGACAGCTTGGTACTGTAAAAATCCTAATTGGGTTTTGCCATCATAAGTTTGCATAATACTGATATTAGCCTTATTTTGACTATAGTCAAACAGGCTTAATACTCACTGATATTATATCTTATTGTATTTGTTTCTGAAAACCTAATTTTCTATTTACAGAATTGTACATATTATAAATTATCAAAGAAAATAACCTTAAATACTCTATAAACTGGAAATGTTTAAGAAGCATGTATCTAAAGAAAAAATATAGAAATTAATTTAATGGACTGAGACTAATAAACCTGTAAAGTAAGAATCAAATAAGGATAAACTACTTAATTCACTGCAAGACTTGATCTAGAACCATCTCAGTTGAGACTTAATGAACATTATTTAGGATTTTCAAAGTAGTAACTGTCCAAGTTGTTTCTATGACTAAAATGTTGCTTTATTCACCTGACAATATACTTCCCAGAATTTTATTTCATATGCCATTACTTCATGTTTTAAATGTTAATTTTTTAATGGGGAAATATTAAGGAGAAAAATGTGATTATTTAATTATGTGATAACTCTTAAAAGATCAGAAAGATTTGTTATCCTGGACTCATGATACACTTGAAAAACATTCTTACATTAGTAAAACTTAGTCTCATCTGCAATGGTAGAATGCCAATCCCTTGGCATAACTCAATTTTAATATTCTTTCAAAAGACTTTCTGATAAATTGATCTTGTCTTAAAATAAGAAATATATTTTGGCAACATATCAAAATTAAATAATAGCAAACCATTTGTGTTTTACTTTGTACTACACTGTTTCTTGGAAGAATCCCAAAGTGCTATATTAATTATATAAATAGACTCCATGAAATCCAGCTTAATGGTAGAAATGAGTAAATAGATCCTTGAAGACAGTATGATAAAGATTGGCAAAGACAATCTGGGTA